AAGAAATAAGAATGCATGTAGTGCTTTAGAATGTAAGATCTAAGGGCAAACAAAATCTGAAACATGCAAAAAAACAAGGAAATACACGGTAGCAATTTTATAATTAAATCAAACTTCGTTAAATGCACTACCAGCTTTGAAAAACACACCACGATGAAGTACCTTGTTTGTAAAAAGCACCATGGCAAACAAAAAAAAGCATCGTTCTTAATTATTTCTTTCACCAAGGTCAACTTTTATGTGAACCAGCCCTTATTTCAATTTATATCGTGAAATATCATCCAAAATGATTTTCTTACTTTTGGTTAGTGCGAAAGTCTTTTTCCCTTCCCATGCGGTCCTTGAAATGATTTTGGTTAGTGTTTTTTCTTACTTTATTAATTAAATTTATGTAAATTATACCGAGTATAGATTAGATTGTCATTTTGAATTTTTGAGCTTAATAGCTCCAGCACGTGATTTAAGAAATGAGCTTAAAATCTCTGTGGTTTCAAATCATTTGATACTCACCTCCTCTTATTACTTTCCCACTATTTTCTCACTGTTTTGTGGCAAAGAGGAGATATTGATGTTTATTTTCCAAATTACAGGGGCAGCAAAGCTCATTTTCCATTCCCTTTTATATTTTGGTTTTCCTCTTTTTTATCTCTGTTTTTCTCTCTTTGTTTCCCTATTTTAAAAGATTTTTTTTATATCTTTTCTAATTTTTGTAAAATTTTAAAATTTTAAATTTATTTGTGTTTGAAATAAAAAATAAACAGATTAACAAAAAATAATATATACTTCATCTATCTCAAATTAAACATTTCATATTTTTACATAATAAGAGAAAAAGTTATTCGGGAAGTTCAAAAAATAAAATTAGGAATAGAAAAAATGAAATAAAATAAAAAATGGAAAAAGAAATGAAAAATTAAAATGATAAAATGACAAAAAGGAAAGAAATTTTTGCTCCATACACCACTCACACACAAGAAACTTCCGTATGCACCAATAACTTTTTTTCCCCTAAATGGCACCTTTTATTATGTTAGTGGACCTATTTGTCCTCCACGCCACTCCCCTCTTTTTTTGTTTTTCTTTCCATGTAAAAAACCTATTTACTCATAATTATCTCCAAAAAAATAGGAACTAAAACCCAGCACCCATTAAGCGCACGTCTGTCATCATCTAAACCCTCGCCATTTCCGTTTCTGTTCTTTTTTCCGTTTTTCGTCCCCCCTTCTCAGCGCCGTGCTCATCTCGGGTAGCAAGAACATGTTCTCTTCATTATTGCAAGCGCTCTCTCAGCCGTTACCCCCCCAGAAAAGGTATGTTCGTGTTCTCCTGAAATTTGATGGTGTATGGTCTAATAATTCGGAATTTAACTCTGTGGGGTTTTATGAAATTGACGTCTGTTGTGGGGCTACGTATGAGGATCTTATACAATTAATCCGATTGACAGTACCGTCATGTGCTGAAAATTCAGATTTTATATTGTCATACACGTCCAATTGTACTAAGTCGCGTACTTTTGTTCACGATGACTCTACCCTCAATTTTTACATTCGATTGAAACTGAATCATAGCAATGTCAGTGAGCTTCCCTTATGTGTTGAGTTATGGTCTAGTCATGATTCCCCATGTGATTCCGAATCCAATTTCAACGATACCTCTGAGGGGGACACATCTCCCCACAGTCATGCAAGCGCCCACGGTGGTGATGTCCGTGATATGCACCAAAGCAGCCCAAGTTGTAATCACTACGATCACCGTCTCGTACCTTCTGGGCCATTTCCGTTGTTTGAGACATACAGTGAGGACACGCAGGTCGAGAACAATTTGTTGCTGTCCAACGAAAGTTCAGTGTCACATAGTACCCGCATGTCTGCTGAGGAAATATCTACGTTAAGGGATTTGAAGGTTATATCCCGGTTTGATCCAACGACGATTGCGGTACGTGCAATTTATGAGAGCAAGAAGGATCTTCTTTTCCATCTTAAGAGATTGGCAATAGCCAATTACTTTCAGTTCAGGACAAAAAGATCGAATAGAAGTTTCCTCCATGTTGTATGTGTCGATTACAAAAGATGTAGCTGGGCGGTCCGGGCTGTGCGTTTGGATAAAAAAGTGGACTTCTTTCAAGTTCGCAGGTTCGTCCTTTAAACCTTTATTTTTTTTTATGTTGGTCACATCTTTGTTTTTAATGACCAATAGTCATACATATAATGACTACATATTTATGCACATTGGTCATTTTTTACTGCGTTAAAGTCCATGTAATACATAATGAAATCTACTCTTTTTGCCAGAACCTTTTCTTTATATTTCCTTTTTCCCATACTGTATTTAGATTTCTTCATATTCACTTTATTCTTTCTAAACACTCATAATGTCCATTCATTTTTACGTAATGACTATTTATTTTAACATACCCTCCTAATGCTTAAATATTGTGTGGCTTTATTGTCTTCCATACTGACCTAATGCCTAATTACCTTTTACTGTCTTGGTTTTGAATATACGCAGCGCATAATTTCCTCATGTAATGCCCATTTATTTTTACATACTGTCATAATATAATGACTATTAACGTAATGACCACTTATTTTAGCATATTGTCCTAATGATTAAATATTGTGTGTATACATTTCGTTCCATAATGTCCTAATGCTTGATTAAATATACTGACCTGGATTTGAATATATGTCGTGCATAATGGCTTTATATAATGGCTATCCACTTTCTCATACTGTCTTCATATAATGAATATTCACGTAATGACTATTTATTTAAACATAATGTCCTGACGCTTACATAATGTGTGTCTTTATTTTGTTTAATACTGACTTAATGCTTTTTTAACTCTTACTGACTTGGATTCGAATATAGCCCGTGCATAATGTCCTTATAAATGCTCTCAATGTGGACAAACTATTTGTTTACTCCAATTTAAGGAATTTGCATATTAAAGTTAAGTTTATTGTATTCATTTTGCACTGTGTTACCCAGGTATGACCACGAGCATCAATGCCCTATAGATGCACGTCAAGGGAAAACAAGACAAGCTACTTATGATGTTGTCGCAAATTTTGTGAAACATCAATTTCATGATGCAACAAAGAAGCCTTACCTGCTCAAATCAATTATGGCAGACATGCAAAGGGAGCATGGTATTTATATGACATATAAAAAGGCGTGGTTTGCAAAAGAAAAGGCTCTTCAACTCTGTTTTGGAACTCCGGAGGAATCTTATGCATCATTGCGGGCTTTGTCTTTTATGTTGAGTGAGGCTAATCCGGGGTCGTTTATACAGCTCTCAACGACCCCAAGAAATCTTTTCAAACACTTCTTCATTTCACTTTCAGCATGGAGGGACGGGTGGCAACATTGTATCCCGGTGTTGATTATTGATGGTTCGTTTATGAAATCATACTACAAGGGAACTCTATTAAGTGCAGTCACACGGGATGGTAATAACCAGATTTTCCCTTTAGCTTTTGGATTCTGTGATAAAGAAAATACTGTGAATTGGTCCTGGTTTCTAACGAAGGTCAAGGAAGCCTTAGATTATCGTCCCGTTCAGTGTGTAATATCCGATCGGCATGAGGGTATATTAAGCGCGGTGAACACCGTATTCCCCGGTGTAAGTCATGGCCATTGCATTTATCATATTTTCGGGAACATAAAACACAATTTCCGTGGCTCCCAAAAATCGTTGTCTTGGAAGTTTTATGGTGCTGCACGTGCTGCATCCAAAGCGGAATGCTACCAGTATTTGCAATACTTGGAGCAAGATGATCCACGCATTATTCCATAGTTGGATGATATTGGCTTTGAGAAATGGGCTAGGTCATTTTCCACCAACCGTTACTCCATAATGACCTCAAATCTTGCGGAGTCCATGAACAGCGTTGATGCTGTTCCACGAGAATATCCTATTGCCAGGGTAGTAGATTTCTTGCTAGGAAGGATGCAAAGGTGGTTCCATGAACGTCGGGAGTTGGAAAATTCCACGTCATCAACTTTGTCAAAGCACTATGAGTCCAAACTCAATGCTCTTCATGCTTCCTCACCGTTATGAATGTTCGCCCTCTTTAAAATCCTTCTTTATTTCAATTTTCTTTTATTATAAGTATTAATTTCTAAAATTCTAATGTAACATATACGCAGGTCCGGCCAGCATCCAACTTTGAGTTTCTTGTCATTGAAATCGATGGGAGATCTTTTGTTGTCAATTTCCAAGATCGGACATGCACCTGTGGCGAGTTCCAACTAGACAATTTCGTTTGTGTTCACGCGGTCGCTGTGACACGTTAGAGACCGGGTTTATCATGCTATGATTATATTTCCCCATACTATACGGCGAATGCATGGAGAAGTGCATACAATGGTGTTGTTCACCCAATCCCGTCTAAAGATTTGTGGGTTTTGCCTGATGATGTGCATGCCATTATTTGCAAGCCCCCCACATAGGCTTGGACACGGTACCGGTGCGGTACCGTCACCGGCGCCGGTACCGAGTACCGTCACCGGAGACGACCAACCGGTTCCTGGAACCGGTACCGGTACCGCCTCAACCGGTACCGTGTCCGGTTCCCAATTTTCGTCACCGGTACCGGTGCCGGTTTAAATTTTTTTTCTTTTTCTTGCTCCTGCCAACGGATACCTGCAAAAAAAAAGTCAGTGGGGGGGGGGGGGGGGGG